AAAAAAAAAAAAAAAAGATCCTAGAGGGTCCTGGAGGGACAGGGATGAACAGAACACACCTGTGCTGTCTTCTAGGAGCCCACAGTGCCAGGGCACACACCTTCAGAGCACTACCCAGGGGGGCATGAGGTCCTGTTGGAGTTCCAGAGGGAAGAGCTCCAAGAGTCAGGGGTGAGCGAGGCAGAGCACCATGTACCTGTGGTAGGGGGTCGGGGGTGGCAGAAAGCTGGAGAGAAGCTGGGTTCTGACCACGTGGGGGTGTTGAGAAACCTTCCATGTGCAGTCTCATATCCCCCTAGAAGGGGTCCTTCTTGGGAGTGGAGCCAGAGGCTGTCCCCTGACTCTGCTGTCTGTGGTCTCTCCTAGCTCTGGCCTTGAAAGGCATCGACTATGAAACAATGCCCATCAACCTCATAAAGGATGGGGGCCAACAGGTAAGGAGGCTGTCCCAGGGCCACAATGTGGGAATTGGAGGCCTTGGAGATGTATCAGGTGTGGGGGTGCCCCCAAGAAGTGAAACTGTCCTGTGATGCCTCTGACTGGAGCTGGCTACTAGCTCTCCCTTGCGGGACAAGGTGGGATAGGAGCCTTGTGAAGAGCAGGCTCCCAGCTCTGTACCAGAGCCTGGGCAGTCGGGGCCAGACCCCACAAAGACAGGTGGCAAGTGGGTCCTTGCCCATGCTGGACCCCCTGGCTGGCTGGCTCCGGTAGGTGCTGCCGGGTGGCCATGGTGGGAAATGCAGGGACATGCACATAGCTGGGCCACCGCGGTGAATCCTGTAACTCAGCAGCTGCCGGGGTTTGGGCCCCTGCGTGGATCCCCAGGGAAGGGTTCTTACTCTAGCCGACCCAGGCCAGGCCACCCAGCCCACTGGAGCCTTGTCTCTACAGTTCTCCAAGGAATTCCAGGCACTGAATCCCATGAAGCAGGTGCCAGCCCTGAAGATTGATGGGATCACCATTGGCCAGTCAGTGAGTGCAGAGCCTGGGGAGGCCCGTCCCCTGGGGAGGCCCCTGGAGAGACCACTGCCCTCAGTGAAGGCACCTGACATCTCTTGCTGGCCCATGGGCCACCAGGGTGCCTTACACATAGGAGGGGCTCCATAAATACTTGTTGGGAAAGGCACAGGCTCAAGCACACGGGCACCACGTTCTGCAAGATAAGGTCCAGAAGGGTTCACGGGGTCTCTAGCTGAGGGGGTATGGGGAGTGTGCTGGCCCTGCCCTCCTAGATCCAGGGGTCCCAGCCCTCTCTCTCCTGCCTCACTGCTCCCCTCTGGACAGCTGGCCATCATTGAGTATCTGGAAGAGACTCGTCCCACTCCACGACTTCTGCCTCAGGATCCAAAGAAGAGGGCCACCGTGCGTATGATCTCTGACCTCATCGCTGGTGGCATCCAGCCCCTGCAGGTGTGGCACCTGTGAACGTGCACCCTGAACCCCTCACACACTTACCTCGACACTCACATCACTGGTGGCAAGTGAGAGGCTGCGGTGGTGGTAGGATGACCAGGAGACAGAGAGGGACTCTAAGGGGCTTCGACCTAGACCACATGGCAGTAGGCAGGAGGAATCCCAGAAATGAGCCACCCAGTGGGTCCCATCTGCATTCTGAGGAGCCCTAAGTTTCCAAGGACACATCTACAGGTGCTTGAGGTGGGGAGAAGGCCAGGGTAGCAGGGGGAGGACCTGAGCAGCCTCTAACCCAAGCAGCCTCCCTTTCAGGACTTTTTTTTTTTTAAGTTTTCACCAGTAAAACAATTCAGTATAAGACAGTTCATCTGTGCTAACTCTTGCCTTTGAGAATGAGCCCCAAGAAGATGGAGTAACTCTGCTGAGTCACACAGCTAAGTGGTAGCAGAGCAGGGACCAAGCCTAGGACCCATGTACCTGTGTCATCTTTTTTATTTTTTTAACAAAGGAGGTTTAAGCAGACAGACATCTCCATTTTACAGATGAGAAATCTGAAGTCTGGAAGTAAAGGGGCTCTAGGGGTGCAGAGATAGAACCAGAGGTGAAATCGATGAGAGCCTGTCCCATGCACCTCCCTCATCCCACCCCCACCCTGTACCTTACTTGTCTCCTCAGGAGGAACCAGGCAGGAGAGGAGCACTGGCTATGAGGGAATAGTCATCAGGTTAGGGCCACATCCTGTGTCCCTACTCTTGCACATCTCTGCCAGAATCATATGGGTTTCAGACTACCAGGGCATTGGGGCAGCTGGGAAGGTGGCTGCTGGGTTGGCTACCTCCTCCAGCCTCAGAGCCCTGATGGTAGGAAGGAGCTCAGAGTCCAGGGTGAGGGATAGGTGTACAGCCAGGGGCAGATGGAAGGAGCTTCCTGAATGGGCTTGGCCAAAGGGAAGCCTGGCTTCCAAAGCAATCACAGGTTTCTATTGGGCTACACAGAATCTGTCTATCCTGAAGCAAGTGGGACAGGAGAACCAGCTGACCTGGGCCCAGAATGCCATCACTTCGGGCTTCAAGGGTGAGTTCACATTCCAGAGAGGTGCCCCAAGGTGACAGCTCAGAGAAATAGCCCTCAGGCACCTCAATCAGCCTCCCAGGCTGCTTTGACCTTGACAGTGGCATGGATGAGGGCAGTGCTAAGGAGCAGTGGACTGGCCCCAAGCTCTAGCACTTGCAGGAACCTCGGTACCTGAGGCCCACAGCACTGCAGAGCTACCTGTCCCCGCTCTGCTTCAACACCCACGCCAGCCAGGAAGCCAAGGCCAGCACAAGCTTGTCCACTCTGGTGGGGGCATGGGGGCTGGACTTGAGGAGCCTGAGGAAACACCAGCTACTTTTGCTGAGACTGGGTACCACATTCCCACCAGCACAGGCCTGTCACTCAGGCGCCCATTTCACAGACATGGAGGCCAAGGCCTACTGAGGCCCATGTCTCCTTTCTGTGCCCAATAACATTACTCACATGGCCTCCCCATAGCTTTGGAGCAGATCCTACAGAGCACGGCGGGAAAGTACTGTGTAGGAGATGAGGTAAGCCATCCCACCCACCCAGACCTGCCCACAGCAGCCTTCTGCCTTACACTGACCTGTGGCTGTCACCTCTACCACTTACGCTCCACCATCTCTCACCACTGCCTGGCAGGCAGGGTTTAGAGAAGAGATTGTAGGGGGACCTCTGTGCCAAGCAGAACTGGCTCCTAGAGAGCTGCTGAGCTCACTTCACCCCTATAAAACCATCTCAGGAGGAGGAGAGGTCCTCAGCCAGAAGACTGTGTCTCCAAGATGACCAGGGGATCTAGGCATCAATTGTGTGGCTAGAGGAAATGATGTTTCCATTTCCTTCCAACTCTGAGTCTAGAATCCAGTGCCCTTTACTCCAGCAGGCTAAGCCCTGGACCACCTGTGGTTCCAGGGTTCCTTTCTAGTTCTACCTGCTCCTAGGTGTCTCCTCCCTGTTGGGGGTCCTCACTCAGTGCCTGGTGATGGCAGTTCTTAATAAACACAGTAACATCCACCAAGGCAATCAAACCTTCTCTGGCCACCCGCAGAGCTGGTTGTCTGGGCAACAGGAGACTGGCCAGGGAAAATCCCTTCATCTCTGGAGGACGGACCTAGGCAGACCAAGGGCAGACAAGGGTGGGTGGGTGGGTGGGGGGAAGAACCAAAGCACAGGGGAACAACAGGGGCTGGCACCCCCTCAGCCAGTGAGTCTGGGGTACTTACGCTGATGCAAACCCCCCCAACCCTCTTTCAGGTGTCCATGGCTGATCTGTGTTTAGTGCCTCAAGTGGCAAATGCTGAAAGGTAAGAGAGAGCCCCACTGCCCTCTCCTCCCTGCGCTACCCACAATCAGGGCCCCTCCTTCAGCTACTGACACAGCATCTCATGCAGATTCTTCCCCAGCCGACCAGTGAGCCTACTATGACAGGCCACACCAGCCACTTTGGCCTGGAAGAAATGAGTGCAGTGCCCCTACCATGCCCACTGCAGCCCAGGGTTATGTATGTGGACAGCCCCTGCTTCTAAGAGGGGGTGGCTCACATGGTGTACTCCCAGGAGCACGTGCCAGCTGTCCCCAGAAGTGACGTGTCTATACCTGGCAGTGAGCTCTGCCTCTGCTTTTCTCCATCAGCCCTCCACAGGGCACAGATGAGTACTGTCTACAGAAGGCCTCATGCTAGGAATTAGGGATATGGAAATGTGTGACACATTCCATGTTCTCAAGAAGCTCATGACATGGGGAGAAGGACACTCTGTATATGTAAATACCTAACAGTCATTGCTTAGATAGGAACAGTAGGTCACAGAGATGCCAAATGATAGCACACAAGACCTACTCATCCCAGAGAGCTACCTATGAATGCACCCCCCAATCTTTGCAGAGCTGCTTTCCTTGTCCTTCTCTGGACAGCCCCATGGACCTCATCCTGCCCTGCCTCTCTCTTCCCTCATTGCTCATAGGACAGTCTTCCTGTGTCCCTGAAAACCTTGGCTTAGAGCAGCGGTTCTCAACCTATGGGTCGCAACCCCTTTGTAACAATGAAAATACATGGCGGCATTAGGAAGGTTGAGAACCACTGGCTTAGAGGGTGTTTCTCTGCTACAGGTACAAGGTGGATCTCACTCCCTACCCTACCATCAACCGCATCAACAAGACACTCCTGGCCTTGGAGGCCTTCCAAGTGTCTCACCCCTGCCGGCAGCCAGATACACCTGCTGAACTGAGGGCCTAGCTCCCAAACCCTGTCCTATTGGCACAGGGGCAGGAGAGGGACACAGAAGCAGAAGCTGGTCAGGCTGAACAGGCTGGAAATGAACACGTCATGAGGGGAGGCAGGGCACTTGAAGTCACGCCCTTGAATTTGAGCTCTAGCCCTAGACCGCCTTCCTGCTGAACCTCATCTGCCTCAGTCCCCTCATCACATGCATGTGGGATGGGAGTGGGGAGATGCCAGGAACCGGGTAGGCAGAAACATTATCTGCTCTCTGTGTCATGAGGTGTCACAAAGAGGAATGTGGATTAAAGTGCCCGGCAAGTATGCCATAGCCCTCTTATGCCTGACTCCAAAGAACATCCAGACTGAAATTTTGTCATTAAATTGAAGCCCAGCCCTCCACCTTAAGACTGAGCTGAGTTCTGCAAGATGAATTCTGTCCCTACCTGGAACCCTCCTATGCCTGGATTAGTAGAGGAAGTCAGCTACTTGCCCACCCTGTCCCAGGCCTGGCCCTTGAGATCTAAGGACAAGGAAAAGAAACGAACCCCAAAGCCTGCCTGGAGAGAATCAGACAAGGTGCAGAGAGAGAACAGAAATAAGAAGCAGGAAAGAAAGCATCCAGTAGCCAGCTGAGCTCTCAGGGCCAGGAATGATCTCGTCATAAAGTATTCCACTCCAGCACTGAGAGCCACGCTGGCCCTCTCAGCTCAGTCCCTGTCTGAAGAGGCAGGACTAGGTACTCATGAAATGTGGTCATGGATGGTGCTGGGAGTGAGAGGCAGGGTCCCCCATGGCAGCATGAATAGCTGCTGACCGGGCCAGCTCAGGAGACCAACCAGGCAGCAGTTTACCAGGAACTGTCCTGGAGAGAGCAGGTTCCCATGCTTGGCAGTGTTCATGTAGAACCAGGGCTACCCTGTGGCAGAGATGTTGTTAGGAGATTGGGGTGACACCTGTGGTGAAACAAGATGGCCTTTTATGACCCGCACATGAGATTTCATTTCACCTGCATGGCTGAGGTTGACAGAGAATTAAGGTCTGTGTGTCTGATCAAATGGAAGCCACTTTTCTCAGCCACAAATCTTTTTACTCCAGCCCCAGTCAGGGCACTGAGTTCACCCCTCTCATGCTAGACTCCTTTGTGGCTTCCTTTTCTCTTAGTGGACCTGGGTTCTAAGCTCTAGACTGACCAAACCTCTTTCCTGAGGCAGCTTTGTCCTGACAAAGCCAGAGAGAATTCAAGCAAAGAAGGTAGGTGAGACACAGCAGTGATGAAGGAGACATACTGGTACCTCCTGTCCTGCTCTGCTGCCATCTGGACCCTTCTCAAATTACTGCAGACTTGCCCAGCTGGATAAGGCTCACCTGGGCTCTCCACAAGAAACCTTTACTAGAAATAAGAGACTAATGTCCTCAGCCAGGAAATCAGAAACCTGATCAGAATCACCTCTTGATTTGAACACATGAAGCTGAAGGTGATTAAAACTCTTGCAGTGGCAGCGCCCATAGCTCAGTGGGTAGGGCACTGGCCACATACACCGAAGCTGGCAGGTTTCAATCAAGCCCGGGCCAGCTAAGCAACAATGACAACTGCAAAAAAGAAATAGCCAGGCATTGTGGCGGGCACCTGTAGTCCCAGCTACTTGGGAGGCTGAGGCAAGAGAATCGCTTAAGCCCAAGAGTTTGAGGTTGCCGTGAGTTGTGACGCCATAGCACGCTATTGAAGGCAGCATAATGAGACTCTATCTCAAAAAAAAAAAAAAAAAAAACTCTTGCAGGTTTTAGAGACAGAATGAGCTCAGGGAAAGGGAGCGTGGGCCCACACTTCTGTTGTATTGCTACAGCTTGGTGTCAGGGAGCGTCTATGGACCTGGAGAGGTGGGGTCAGAGAAAGGCCCCAGCAGGCCGTGGGCTAGGCTTGGACAGGATTTAGGAGGCACTTGGCTCTGCTTCTCACCCACAGGTACCTTTGAGAACCCAACTGATCTAAAAGGATTTTCTTGGAAGGGAGAGAATTATATAGAATCCATATCTAGGAAACATAGATAAACCTGAGACCTCTCCCCTGACCTGAATGATTCTAGAGAGATCTGGGTGTAATGAGGGGACAAACTAGGACTTTTCCTAAAGAAACTGCCTGTCTGGGGTGGAAATTCTGCAACCTCAAGGTCACATGTGGCCCTCCAAACCCCCAGTACAGCCCTTGGCTAAATCCAAATTTTACAGAACAAATACTTTTTTTTTTGAGACAGAGCCTTAAGCTGTCGTCCTGGGTAGAGTGCTCTGGCATCACAGCTCATAGCAACCTCCAACTCCTAGGCTCAAGCGAGTCTCCTGCCTCCACCTCCCAAATAGCTGGGACTACAGGCACCCACCACAACGCCTAGCTATTTTTTTTGGTTGCAGCCGTCAGAGTTGTTTGGCAGACCCGAGCTGGATTCAAACCTGCCAGCTCAGGTGTATGTGGCTGGTCCCTTAGCCACTTGAGCCACAGGCGCCAAGCCTTAACAAATACTTTTAATGAAGAGATTTGTTCTGTGAAATTTGGATTCAGTCGAAAGGCCACAGTCAAGGATCTAGAAGGCCACATGTGACCCCAAGGCCATAGGTTCCCCACCCCTGGGTGGCTCTTCTACTCCAGCTAGTAACGGACTTCCCCTCCCTCCGTTCAATCCACTAACGTGCAGGTGACTGCTGTGGAGGTGTGGCTGCGGATGTGAAAGACCTGTCCGCTGCTCTTATGGAATTTCCACTTACTCCTGAGAATGTAATTGACCAGCTCTAACTCTGCCACTCAACCTTGTGTATTTGTTGTCTGTCTGGCTGGCTGTTTGTTTCAAGATGACTTCTAAGAGTTGAAATATTTCTTTCTTTTTCCTTTTTTTTTTTTTTTTTTTTTTTTGGAAACAGAGTCTTACTCTGTCAAAATGCTGTGGCAAGATTATAGCTCACAGCAATCTCAAACTCCTGGACACAAGTGATCTTCTTGCCTCAGCCTCTCGAGTAGCTGGGACTACAGGCACCTGAGACCATACCTAGCTAGTTTTTCTAATTTTAGTAGAGATGGGGGTCTTACTCTTGCTCGGGCTGGTCTCAAACTCCGAGCTCAAAGGTTCCTCTTGCCTTGGCCTCCAGAGTGCTAGGAGTTACAGGCATGAGCCCCCATGCCACGCAAGTTGACATATTTCTTTTTTTTTGCAGTTTTTGGCCGGGGCTGGGTTTGAACCGCCACCTCTGGCGTATGGGTCCTGCACCCTACTCCTTTGAGCCACAGGCACTGCCCAAGTTGACATATTTCAACTCAGTGATATCTCCCTCCTAGAGTAGACAGCATCAAAATGTTAATCTATTTAATTAAGGCTCTATCAACCTTCATGAAACCGGTGGCAAAAATAGAGGTGATATACCTTTTATTAACAAACATAAAATAACATCCCTTATCTAATGCACAAAACTCATGTATGTATTTTCTTGTAGGTTTTTTTTTTTTTTTTTTTTGAGACAGAGCCTCAAGCTGTCCCCCTGGGTAGAGTGCTGTGGCATAGCTCACAGCAACCTCCAACTCCTGGGCTCAAGCGAGTCTCCTGCCTCCGCCTCCCAAGTTGCTGGGACCACAGGTGCCCACCACAACGCCTGGCTATTTTTTTTTTTAGGTTGCAGCCATCGTTGTTTGGTGGGCCCAGACTGAATTCGAACCCGCCACCTTAGGTGTATGTGGCTGGCACCTTAGCCACTTGAGCCACAGGTGCTGAGCCTTTCCTGTAGTTTTGATGTGAAAAATCAGTCCTGGGGGTGGCGCCTGTGGCTCAAAGGAGTAAGGCACCAGCCCCACCATATGCCAGAGGTGGCGGATTCAAACCCAGCCCCAGCCAAAAACTACCAAAAAAAAAAAAAAAATCAGTCCTGGGTGGGTAGGGAGGACAGGGAACAGATGTTGTGACTACCTTTGGACACTACCTCTGGACGCATGGAAGCACCAGAGATCCTTGGAGTCTGAGATATTTCTCTGAGGCCCACTGTATTAGAGCTCTCCAGAGAGACAGAATTAGTAGGCTATATAGTGGAGGTGGAAGGGACTGCGTGATTACATGGATTTGGCTTACATGATTAAGAGGCTGAGAAGACCCATAGTCTGCATATATTGCTGTCTGCTGTCTGCAAACTAAAGCCCCACAAAAGCCGGTGGTATCATTCAGTTAAGTCCAAAGGCCTGAAAACCAGGGAAGCCAATGGTAGAAATTCTGATCCAAGGACTAGAGAAGATGAGATGAAGTGGCCACACTCAAGCAGTGAGGCAGGAAAACATGGGCAGATCTTTCCCTCTTCCACTTTTTCTTCTATCTAGGCACTTAACGGACTGGATGGTGCCCACCTGCATTAGGGCAGACAATTTACCAAGACTATAGAGGTCTAAACATCATACTTACTACAACAACCACCAATATCGTGTGATCATTTATGCAGTCATGACCCAAGACCTCCTAGTCCAATGTTGATCTCATCAGAAACACCCTCACAGACTCAGCAGAACAATGTTGAATCTGGGTGTCTCATGGCCCAGTCATGTGGATGCATGAAATTAACCATCATATCTGTTTTTCCCCAGATCTATCCTTCCCCACAAAAACAGAAATGTGTCCAAGGTTAAGAAACTTACTCAGGGCCCCTTTGAGGTGACTCTCCTGGAAAGTACTGGGCTTTTCAGGGGTTGGTCCCACCATCAATTATGTGCACCATCCAGAGGAAGTTTCTAAATCTTTTTGTCTCTCAGCCACATTGGCTTTAGGAGGACGATAGTTCATTCTTATCTCATGATGCCTTTGCAAATAAGATTTTTGTATTTTAAAAGCTAGAACCTATGATATGAGAGCTCTCTGCATGGTCCATAGCATGATCTTCTGGGTCTCCCAAGAGGATAGGAGACAGACATTCAGGGAAGGGTAGAAGAGGGTAGCCAGCCACAGTTGTACAGGAAGGACATTTCAATTTAACCACAATACAAACTGGTCTGAAGTCCAGGCCTGGGATCCATTCTTGCCTCCCTCTTCACCCAGAACCAAGGTGAGAGCCTCAATTCTCCAGGGTCTACAAGAGCTTTTCTGGAATCTCCTCTGGGCTTTGAAGGAAGCAAGGAAGCAGGGGAAATAGAATTGGAGGGGCTGCAGAAAGGTAGGCACACTCAGGATTAACCAAGAGATGGAAAAGGAGGAGCTTAGGGTAGGCAGTGGTGAGAGGTCCTGGCCTCACTGGATGGCTATAGCTCATGAGAGAGGAGGGGCAGTCTCCCTGGTCCCTTGGCCTGCAGTTTTGAGTCAGAGTGAGGTTGTATCGTGTTTCCAGTCCTGGACCTCCTCCATAGAGTCCTGGTCATCAACATGGTCAGTTGCCCTACTGTTCAGGAATGTGGAGACCTGAGATTTTCCCAGTTTCAGCCCTACCCTACAAAGAACCCTCTTGCAGGAACCTGTGGCTGGTTACATGAGAGTGAGGAGAAGCCCTTCTTTATTATCTGAGGAACCTAGCTGTGGGCCAGGGAGTAAGATGGTTTAGCACTTCTAGAATATCTTCCCAGCATGAGAGAGGAATTCCTTCAAGCCCCTCAAGGGTTGGGCTCCTGACCTACCTCCACTATTCCAGGATCATGCAGTTTGACCAGGCTTGCTCTATAAACCATGTTAAGTTGAAATGTCCTTCCTGTACAACTTGGCTGGCTACCCTCTTCTACCCTTCCCTGAATGTCTGTCTCCTATCCTATAACTCCTCTTTTGGGAGACCCAGAAGATCATAAAGGAGCAAATACTTCCCTGTGTATGCAGACTTTTCTCTAGAAGTCAGACCAAATGGCTCCAAGGCTTAGTGATATTTAGGCTTCTACAAAGTTTTAAAAACTACCTTCTCTGCAACTTCCTCAAATCTGCAAATACAATCTTATTTTCAGAGGTCAGATGTATGTTCCAATCCAAGAAAGTCATGTGCTGCTCTAACAAAATACCTAGGACCGAGTAGTTTATAAAGAACAAATATTTATTTTCTCACAGTCTGAAGGGTGGGAAGTCCAAGATCAAGGCAGCAGCTGGTTCAGTTGCTGGTGAGGGCCCAGTCTGTTTCCAAGATGGTCCTTTGCTATGTCCTCATGAGACAAAAGGAACAGAAGGGCAAAAAAGGGCCTAGCTAAATTTTCTCTAGTCCTTTCGTAAGGCACTAATCTATTAATGAGGGCAGGGCACTCAAGGTCTAATCACCTCAACCCAGCTCTTAGTTCTTAATATTCTGCTATGAATTTAAATGCAGATGAAAGATCTATTATCTTCTTAATTTTTAATTCTTTTTTTTTTTTTTTTTTGAGACAGAGTCTCACTATATCACCCTCGGCACAGTGCTGTGGTGTCACAGCTCGCAACAATCTCAAACTCTTGGGCTTAAGCGATTCTCTTGCCTCAGCCTCCCAAGTAGCTGGGACTACAGGCGCCCACCACAACACCTGGCTATTTTTTTGTTGCAACTATTGTTGGTTTAGCTGGCCTGGGATGGGTTTGGACCCGCCAGCGTTGGTGTATGTGGCCGGCTCCCTACTCACTGAGCTATGGGTGCCGCCTAATTCTTAATTTTTATGATCATTTCAATTAAAAGGAACTCATATAGACTTATTGAATGCTCTTCTTTTTAAGATGAAGAAGAGAGATAAAAAGCAAATAATTTAAAATACAAATCAGGTTCATTAAGCTACGACTCAGTTATTTCAGGTGCATAGTGAAAAAGTTTATTTATGACAGATTTCAAAACTTGGAAGAGAAGACAAAGAATGCACAAAAGCATCACAAAACTGTTACATAATATAAAAACACAAGAACCAAGCTATTTAAAGATCCATAGCTCAGGATCATCAGTGTACCACAGCAACATGTTCAGTGCCACAAGGTGATAAAATATGGTTATTTTAAAAGAAAAACCACTCAGCAGGACATAAGCATTAAGTTAACAATTTGGTACAGAGCTCTTTAACTTAGAAATCATGGAGATGAGATGGTGACAGCATTTCTCATGATAGGGAACGTGGAAAACAAGTTGACTATAATAAATGACTAGCTGAGATATTTTTGTATTTTAAAGAAAAAGACAAAACAGTGGCATGGTCTCCCTTCCAGACCCCTTTTTGGAATGTCAGCATCAGTGTATGATACAGAACTGTAAGGAAAGAGTGTCTTCATGGTTGCCAACTGCTTAAATATTTAACAAGAAAACATGATCATCTTTCAGTCAACTGATTAATCTTAGTACATGGTACCAAAGTCCCTTCAGAAATGTAAGCTACTTGGCATTAAACAGGAAATCTCCAAGCACCTCCCTCTACTCCAATTATCCTTACCCAAAGTTTCTTATAGTCCCTCACTTGGATTACAAAGCAGCTTTTCTTCTGAGAATTTCAAAACACTTCCTATTATGTATTTACTTAATCAATTATTTATTTTAGAGACAAGTTCTATGTTACAAATGCTGGCCTAAAACTCCTGATCCTTCCACCTCAGGCTCCCATGTAACTGGGACCAGAAGTGCATGCCACTTCATGTGGCTCCATTCTCCCCATCATTAAGGGAAAATGAGTATTCCAGAGTCACAGTTTAGGATTGCTCTCTCCGGGAAGCAAGAGATTAGAATAGAGCCCTTCCAGAGCAGCTTCACAATTACCCTCACAGTGACATACCAGTTAGAAAAGAGCAGAGCAGAAATCATGGCCTGAGAGAAGAGGGCATAAAGCATGAGCTCTTTACTTGCTCTTTAATATGGCTACATGGAAATAACTGAGCTTGATTAAATGAAAGCTGATTCACTTATAGCATAATAATCTCCGAATTAGACATAAATACAAATTTCTAATATAGAATGTCTTGGTAAAATGTACTGTTTAGGACATGAGAGAAGGAATTAAGATAACGTTTTCCAGATAATTCTTGGCCAGGACCTAAGAAGCAACAGTAACAACCATAGGAAGGAACATTACAGACTAAGTTTTTCAGCCCTGAGTGATGAAGAGAGTCAGGAAGAAAGCCCCTTAAATTGCAAATTAAGGCTCTTTATGTATTTCAAACTAAAACTTCAGAATGCTTCATTTGAATTTTAGAAAATTCTTTGTCCTCTGAAAGTCATTTCATATACATTATTTTACTGCCTGGTAAGCCAAAACTACTGCTTAAAATGACAGAACACTTGGGGTTTAGTAGAGAAGCATGTATCTCTAAATTTCTAGGGCACCTTTTCATCAGATCTTAGAATGATGCAAAGCCATGAAATTAATTCTAGTTCACATGCCTGAGGCCTAAAAGAAATTAAGGTACATATAGTAGAAATCAGATCATTGTGACTAGGACTACAAATAATTTCAAAGCCCATGTCTTGCCTTTGGACTAAGTTTATGAGGAAAGACTATTTGTAAATGAGCCCCACTCTCACAGGCTTTAGGCAATAAATTGTGTTTTTGTAGCTTAGAGACAAGAAATTCAAATACAAGGGGCTTTGTGGGGACTTCCTGGTTTAAGCAGGGATAATGCAACACTTCAGAGGGAACAGTATTTTCTGAGCAAAATTCTAGGATTCAATAGCTTTACTCTCCCCATACTTCCACCCACCCCCTAATTTTATTGTTCTCACTCCTTGCTATCAATTTTCTTTTCTTTTCTTTTTTTTTTTTGAGACAGAGCCTCAAGCTGTCCCCCTGGGTAGAGCGCAGTGGCATCACAGCTCACAGCAACCTCCAACTCCTGGGCTCAAGCGAGTCTCCTGCCTCAGCTTCCCAAGTAGCTGAGACTACAGGTGCCCGCCACAATGCCCGGCTATTTTTTGGTTGCAGCCATCATTGTTGTTTGGCGGGCCTGGGCTGGACTCGAACCCGCCACCTCAGGTGTATGTGGCTGGCACCTCAGCCACTTGAGCCACAGGCACCGAGCCCTTGCTATCAATTTTCAAAGACAGTTCTCAAGCAGCACAAAACTGTTTAACTGTTAACTATTTAAAACATGTCCTTCCTTTGCCCTCCCCTAACACAGTAGTCTTTTATGTAAATATTAAGAGTCATTCAATGCCATACCTTAGAACCAGAGACTCTAGGATTAAAAGGCAACCTTTTGCAGAGAAGTGGTCTTAATAAATAAATATATTAATAAAAACAGACTTTAGGGTTTAGGTTCACCTAATTCTCTCCAAGAAGGACTGGACAGGGCTCATCAAGAATTTAAAACTCAGGTATTTTCTATAGGTAATAAGTTTTACAATAATATCTAATCCCACTGATTAATATAAGACAGATTTCAGTTTTAACTCTTCCATATACATATTATAATGGAATAAACCCTTTTTTTAAAAATCTGAGTTTTTCTTTCCTAAACAATAGACATAAATATTTTTAAAGTGCATGTATCAATTTATCAAGAAAACAATAATTAAAAATGGTCTAATTTCAAGTTGTTACCTACTTCTACTATAAAGCTATATGTTATCTGAGGATTGAGTTTTACAATTTTCATAGTCCTGAGGATGAGTCATAAAGCAAGAGATTAGAATAGAGCCCTTCCAGAGCAGCTTCACAATTACCCTCACAGTGACATCCCAGTTAGAAAAAGCAGAGCAGAAATCATGGCCTGAGAGAAGAGGGAATAAAGTATGAGGCTTGAAAGATGGAAACCAAAAAAATTTTTTATGAAGACCACCTTCCATGTAACCCATATTGAATGAAATAGGTCTGCTGAAAATCAAGGGCTCTCTGACCTAGGAGAGCTGATGTTGTCTGTGTAGGGAACATTCTCTAATTAGACACTTGTCAAAAGGAACAGAATGTTAGCATCATCTTTGTTTAAACATTGGCAGTAATTTTAAAATCAATGTGGTGTGTGTGTGCATGTACACTTCTTTGTAAGTTTTCTGTTTGCTGAAAAATTTTCACAATAAAGCACTGGCAAAGACACTTTAAAACAATCCCTTCCTTTCTAAAAGCCCTATTTCTCAACAAAATAGTAAAACTAAATGAACTAAAGAAATTTAAGAACTTGGTCATCCTACATAGAAAATTTCAATCTCTCCCCTACAATGCAGCACTTTCTTTCAATTGTTTGTTAATATTATTTGTGTTCTAGAGGAGTGAGGGTGAAAGCAAATGCTTTTCATTTCATTGTTTGGTTCTGTAAACTTGGACAGGGAGAGACTGAGGAAAGCTATGAGTTCTCAGCAATTACCTGTGCTTCAGTGTAAAATTTTGTCCCCTAAAGTTCAATTATTTCAGAAATTTAATATGAGAATAATAAATGAATTAGTGAAAATATTTTCATTTAGTTATTTTGTGACAATGGAACAAAGAAACCTGACTGTTGGTATAAAACCAATATAGAATGAAATGTAACAATACCCAGGACTTGAAAAGTGACCAGACAGTAACAGCCACACAGAGGCAAGAGGAACACATTGTTCAGGCTTCTGTGATGCAACAAACGAGGATTCCAAAGAAACTAATCAAAGAAAATCTTATGGCAAAAATAAATGATAAATAATAAGTGTTATCCTTGGGAGTTTGCTCTGTATGACCTGACAGCTCCATTTTGAGAGAAAATGAGAAGTTAAGAATAAACAAGAAAAATAACAAAGCCTTTAGCTGACTAGAAAATAGCTCAGTATAAAATTATTTTACAAAGATTATATTCAACTAGCTAAGGCATGATCAACTTCAATGATGAAATCTCAGCTATCTGATGGGATAATATATGGCAAGTTCGCTTTTTACTGCCTAAATAGACAGTCACTAAAATAACTTAACAAGGCATAGAAATTTGGGCCAGTGTAATCCTCTACAAAACACATCTGCAAATATAAAATAATGGAGGTATGATGCTGCTCAGAGAATGGGAATGCTATGGACATCCACAACATCCTGTCCTGCTCCCAGGAAAACAGAAGGGGCAGGACGTATTACCCTTTGTTCATATTGTAGATGCTACTGCAGACCTACTGGGAGGCGTTCTGTTCTTTGATTTACTGGTACTGGAGGGAGGAGAGGCTTGGTGTGAGGAGTGAGTCCAAAGGAAGCATCGAGAAAGTGCTTCCTTGGAGGAGGCAAAGGACTCTGAAATCCTAGAATCACAGAATATCTCTGATTGGCTAGGCAATTCTTCTACTCTCAATCCTAGTGAATGAGCCAATTCCCTCACAACTTAGAATTCCTTCCAAGGAATGCTGGGCTGTACCCTAAACATGGGTAGAATTGGCACCCTCCATCTCTGGAGGCTGAGACTCCTCCCCAAGAATCATAGGACTGACTCTCAGAAATGGAAGGTTGTCACTTCCCAAATTCTCCTGAAATTATTATCTTTAACACTACAGAAGAGGTGGCTCTGTGGCTCAGAACAGATGGAAAGCCTTCTGAGAAACAGATGGAAACTGTTTCAAGGGCAAAATGAAACGTGCTAAAAAAAAATTAATAAATAAAGTAATAAATAAATCTAATTATTCCTCAAAATCTGGAGGCAGTAACAGACTAAGGAATAAAAAACAAGAAGGGACAGACAACCACTGAGGTCTCATTTCATTCTCCTTCTCCACCTGAGGCCTGGCCACTAGTGCCCCAATGACCACTGGCTACAGCACCACTTACATTATGGGGCCCTCCAGGGCATCCGGGTTAGTAGAGTGGGGAAGGCTGTCACCAGGGAAATGCAAGCTTTGGTCAATGAAGAACAAATACAATCAGCAGCAACAGTGAAGCTTATTATCATCTTTCCAAAGGGACTCTGAACACCAAAAGCTTTAAGCCCTCAATACAGAAACCCACTGGAAACCTGATTAGATTTCACTGCATTTGGTTCCAAAGCAAAATTCCAAATAGCACTCCTGCTCTAAAGACAAAAAAAAAAGTTGTGGGAAATCTGGAGTGTTTTTTTAAAAATCTCTCATAAATGATACCCTTCCTTCTTTGATTATACAAAAAATAATTAATTAATAACATAACTTTCAACGATGTGGGTTCTGAGATCAACCCAGTACCTAGTTTCTACCTTATCCACTTTGACTGCCAGTCCCCCAGGGAAGGGAAACTAACTCTTGGAACAGGAAATAATAGAGGCAGTTTTTCTTTCCAGAAGATCTTAGGTTACATTGATCATCACTTTAGATTGCATGAAAAGTTCTTGCTGTAATGGCAATAACAAAGACTTAGGAAAGAGAAAAGACAAGGCATCTAACCATCAGGAATAATAATATCCTTCCAAAGGCAGTGAGGTCTCCCAGACTATGCAGAGACCAAGAATAACCAGCAGGCAGGAATATGGCAGTGGTAAGAGGCTGGACACAGCTTTCTCCATCCAAGAGACTGGGCTCCCTCATGGACAATGTGCTTTTCCCTCTTCTGGCACCACAAAAAGTAAAGAGAGTGGATACCATTAAATGCAGCAGCAATAAGAGTTCTGGGAAAGGCGACAGCAGCAATCTGAATGATAAACCTTGTACCAAAACAAATCTATTTTTAAAAGACAACATTCTACTTCCTTTTAGGCTTGCGCCTGATAGGTGCCTTTGCAGAGGGATTTTGCAGGAGTCTGAACCAAGAAGAGCGTGAGTGAGGGACCACAGAACAGAAGCACTACACCACCACCTGAAGAAGCCAAGAAGGGAAAAAGCTATGTTGGGTCAACAGTCAGGCACACCAGACAGGCCATGAGGCTCAGAAGCCTCATGCTGCACTTTTAGCTCTTGCCTATCCCAAGTAAGAGGACCAGCTGGCAGCTTGCTTCAGCCATCAAATACAGCCTGCCCCCTGTCCCAGAAGTTCTTCAGCTAGTGTAGTAGATGTGGAAGTAGAGAGTCTTGTTGCGTAGCAGGGAATAGGAGTTGTCGAACTTGAGCAGGTAGATGCCCTCGCCAGGGTAGTCATGGCTGCCAGCCTGCACATCTCGGTGGCTGTCTCGCCGGTACACAGGCATGACCTCCCCGTAGCGACCCCGCAGGGAACTCCTGGAGCCTCTCTCCACATCTCCAACTGGAACAGGTTCTACAAGAGGAAAATGGTAGAGTGTTTGGATATGAGTTCGGAGACTGAATAAATCCTACCTGAAGGTGAGAGGAAAAACCAGGTAACCCAGTGGCTTTCACAAAGGGGAGAATCTGTTGCTCTCCTACAGGTCAGGTATCTAAAAGACCACCATGGTCTTTTAGTCATCATAGTGACTACTATGTGATGTCTTTTGGTGGTCTTTTTAGTCATCATAGTGACTACTATGTGATGTTGGCAGTTAGTAACCTCAGAGTTCGGGAGGGCCAAAATCAGGATAATACCTACACAACAAAGAAATGCCAATAAGGTCTCCACTGAGAAATAATGATTAGCCTGATAAGAGCTAGGTCTTCCTAGTTCCACAAGCATCTGGACATTTCTGAGGGAAGAAATAGATATTTAAAAGGAAAGATCTTGATATTCTTTCATTCAACAGGCAAAAGGACTAGCTAACAGAAGTAGGAAATGCAGATAAATACACTGTACAGTAAGACTCTAACACTTCAACTTGACTTCCTAAAAATTAGCAAATAAGATAACAAAGTTTACCTCTTTCATAAATACCTATAGATTTCCCTACAGACTTGCTTTTCCTTTTTTTCTTTTCTTCTTTTTTGAAATAAGGTCTTGTTCTGCCATCTGGGCTAGACTGCAGGGGCATCATCATAGCTCATCATCAAGACTCAAACTCTGGGCCCAAGTGATTCTCCTGCCTTAGCCTCATGTGCCACCATGCCTGGCTAATGTTTCTATTTTTTCTGTAGAGAAGGGTCTGACTCTTGTTCAGCTGGTCTTGAACTCCTGAGCTCAAGCAATCTTCTTGCTTCAGACTCCCAGAGTGCTAGGACTCTAGGCCTGAACCACCACTCCTGGCCCAGTCTTGCTTTTCTATGAAGAAGTAAGTTGAGGGACTGATTTTTATTTTATTTTATTTATTTATTTAGAGACAGAGCCTCACGCTGTTGCCCTGGGTAGAGTACTGTGGCATCACTGCTCATAGCAACCTCCAACTCCTGGGCTCAAGGGATTCTCCTGCCTCCGCCTC